GACACAGGTTTATAGTTTTGTGCCCTTTTTTGTTCCCTTTTTTTTAAAAAAGGGGGGTAATTTGCCGTCTTCCCTACCTCAGGGGGTTGCCCCCGTTTCCAGGGATGTGTTTAAGAAATTTGGTAAGTGGCAAAGCCCCAACAAATTTTCTCCCTTTTCCCAAGGACCCCGGGGGGATGTTTTTTCTGGGCCCTTCCTTTGGGGGTATCGATCCCCCCTTTGGGAGTTTCTTCACCTTTCCCCCTCATCTGTATGTAACGTTTCCCAAACTTTGGTTTTTGGGGTATTCCTTTTCTGGTGTCCCATCTGGGCTGCCCCCCAGAATCCTTCCCGTCCTAAATTTTAAATACTTTTCCCTTAAAAATTTGTGTTGGCTCCTCACTACCCCTTGATCGTTTTTGTGAGTTTTTCCACCTTTTTCCTAAAACCTTATCACCCTTGGGCCTTTGGGGTGGGGTTTTCTTTTCCCCCAAAAAGGCTATACAGCAGTTTCGGTCAGTTTGACTTTCGATGCTATGTCGTTTTTATAAATTTCCTGGGGCCCCCCCCTATCTGTGGGATACTCGTTTTTTGGCCCCAATACTAATCCCTTGTTTTCCTGGGGCCAAAGCCTCCCCGTACCTTTTCCAAACTTGTTGCCAACCCTTTTTTTTCCTCCCTCCAAACCCTTTGGGGAAAAAAAAAAGGCCCCAATTTTGGGCTTCCTATTATTTCCCCCTTTTCCCCTTTGGGGAAAAAAACTTTCCTCTGCCCCCCCTTTCAATTTGCTTTCCCCAAAATTCCATCCCTCTTTGTTTACTGATTTTCCTACCATTTCTCTGTCCCACTGAACCTCCCGCAGGAAGTTTCTCATACCTTGTAGTCCCCCCCCTTTTAAAAAGTTTGGCCCCCGTCCCCTTCAGTTCCTGTTACTTCTCCACTTGTAAATTACGAAAAAAGTCAAAACTCAAAAAACCACCTGATCGCTAAACTCCAAGGGGCCTCTCCTAAAATGATGTCTCCCAAAGTCCCGAACTGCTCAGGGGAACCCCAAGAAACCTCCCTTTCGGCCTTTTCCCCCCCCTCTCTTCCCGGTTTTGTCCCTTTACATGTTTAAAGCAAAGGTTTTCAAGTACCCCATCCTCATCTTGGCTCTCCATGTTTCGGGACCCCCATTTTGGGTCCAGGTTTTTCCCCGTCGATCTCCCTGTGGTTAAAAACCCCATTACCATAACTTTGCTCCCGCTTTGAGTGAGCTCTTTTTTTGCAACCCCCAAACCGTGTGTCCACCTGGTTTTGTGTGTGTGGTGTGTGTGTGGGAGTGTGTGTGTGTGGTGTGAAATTTTGGGGAGTGTGGGGAAAAGAGAGAATTGGGTGTGTGTTTTTTGTGTTTTGTGTTGTGTGGGGTGTGTTGTGGTGGTGAGAGAGAGGGGAGAGAGAGAGAGAGAGAGAGAGAGAAAAAATGGCTGTGTGTTTTTTGTGTATGTGTGTGTGAGTGTGTTTTGGGTTGTGCGTGTTTGTTTTGTGTGTATGTGTGTGGTTTTGTGTGTGTGGTGTGTGTGTGTGTGTGTGTGGTGTGTGTGTTGTGTGTGTGTGTGTGTGTTTGTTGTGGGGTGGTTTTGTGTGGGGTTTTTTAAAAGTTGGGGTGTGTGTGGGGTGTGTGTGTGTGTGTGGTGTGTGTGTGTTGTGTGTTGTGTGTGGTGGTTTTTGTGTGTGTGTTTTGTGGTTTTGTGTGTGTGTGGCGTGTGTATGTTTTGTGGTGTGTGTGTGTTAAATTACCAAATTTTGTCCTGGCCCCCATGCGATTAGCCCCTAAAGGGCCCGGTGTTAGTTACCCTGGTTTTGTGTGTTGTGTGGTGGTGTGTGGTGTGTTTTGTGGGGTGGTGTGTGGGGTGTGTGTGTTTGGGGTGTGTGTGTGTGTGTTGTGTGGGGTTGTGTGTGTGTGGGTGTGTGTGTGGTTTTTGTGTGTGTGTGTTTTGTGGGAGGGTGTGGTTTTTGTGCGGGGGTGTGTTTTGGGGTGGGGAAATGTTTAAACCCTAAAGTCCGTTGTCTCCCCCTAACGCTTTCCCGGTTTCAGTTTAGGTCTTCCCAAAGATGTACTTAAAGTCACATTACTGACTTAAAGTGTCCGGAACTCTGAACCAAATGTCGCTGTTAAGGAGTCTGTTAAACACTTGTTTGATGATCGTTAAGCTGAGTTGTGTAGTCAGCAAATCCAGGCCACAAGCTTGTGTGATCATCAGACACTGTCAGCAAGCCTGTGTAGTAAGTAAACTCTGACAACAAGCTTGTATAATTAGTAAATCCTGGACGAAAGCCTGTATGGTCAGTACACTTTTCCACATGCTCGTGGAGTCAGAAATCCAGGTTATTACCTTTTGTGGTAAATAAACCAAAGTTACAGTATTGTGCGGTCAGTAATTCCTGGCCAGAAGCTTGTGCTGTCGGTAAACCCAGTCACCAACCTTGTGTGATTAGTAAACCTTGATCACAAACTTAAGTAGTCAGTAATCCCTAGCTACAAGCTTCAGCAGTCAGCAGACCCGTTCATGAGGTGCGTGTAGTCAGTAAACTCTTGTCTCTAGTTTGTGTGGTTAGTAACGGCAGTAAACCATTGCAACAAGCTTGCAGTTTATGCCACATCAGCCTCTCACCAAGGTAAGGTGACGCAAGGAAGGACACTTTCACCATTATTCATTCAATGGCAGTCTTCCCTGAAGTGCACAGATATCACACCTCAAATGGCCCTTTAAACTGTAACATCCCCAGCCATTTTTCTGAGTGTAGGCAGTATTTTATCCTTCGTCCCTTTATCAATGTTACCTTGCTCACACTCCATCAGCAAGCCGAATCCCTGAAACCGCTTGTCTCCACTCACCCCGATCTACTGTAACTCGCCTGCTCGATGCTCAAACACGTACGACTTAAATCCTACTTCACATCCTCCCTCTAACCCTTCCAATCAAGATTTGTTCACTATCTTGGTCCTCTTGTGCTGCTCTATCCTCTCTAAATGCCAAAACTGCCTCTGAGAAAGATCTTTCTGTCCCCTGAGTAATTCGGCTCATAACCCCGCATCGTTTTAAAATTTCTACAGTATGACTACTTTTCATAACATTCACTCAATATATTCCTCTCAAATGTGACATCTACGCTGCCCTTCGGCTTCTGTATCGCAGTAATTCCTCACACCTACACATCGTGACTTTATACATTCCTGTCTTAGGCCTTCCTTTACAGGAAAATGATCCCCTGCCCTACTGGATGCCCTAACCTGAGCCACACATCCTTCATAAATTTCATTTTCCAATTTCTGCGACATTGTTTTATACACTTTAAAACACACGGTTGTGAATCATTTTCAGAAAGGTTCTACAGACTCGAGAAGGCATAAGATGCCTGTGTAAGCTTAGACATTTAATATGGAAAGGAAGCAGGTGGTTGCCTGTTAACTGACAGCAATGTTTGGTACGCCGATGGTGGGATGGAATAGTATTAGTGGTTGGTGGGATTAGTATTATTGTTTCATACTATGGAACAATACTCTTCTCCAGACTGAGGGACTGACCACCTCAAAACTTCAAGGGTGATGGACTGATTACATCGTCTTCAAGTATCTTCTGCTTCTATCAACTTTTCTGTACTCGACTGAAGAAGCCTACTGTGTAGGCGAAACGTTTCGAAATAAAGATACCTAACTGTTGCATATGTGTCTTACCTAACAGTTAACTCGTACATGAGTAAAAGAATATAAAAGCTATTACTTGGGTAACATAAAAATAGGTTAGACAAATATAGACTGAATAGAGGCAGCCTGTTTCAGTGTTCACTCTCTGTAATGTGCTTTGTGTAGTATTAACAGGAGAGACTAAGTGATGGCAGGGTTTACTGTTTTAAGGAGGATTCTTGCTAAGACTTCAGAGATGGTGAAGCTGCCTTTGTTTTGTTTAATTGTATTCGAAAATGTAAATGTGTTCGTTGAGGCGGGTGTCGAGGTTTCTTGCTGTTTCACCCTGTGGAGGCTGCGACAAGATTTATGTAGGTGAAACAGCAAGAAACCTCGACACCCGCCTCAACGAACACATTTACGCATGTAGGAACGATAACTTGAACAACGCCTGTGTACAACATCGAAATTCCACCAATCACCTCGTGAAATTCAGGGACGCCCAATTAGTGATCAAAGAAACTAATTTCCGCAGACGCAAGTGCCTCGAATCAGCACTGATCGCTGTTTCAAATACCATTAAACAAAACAACGGCAGCTTCACCATCTCTGAAGTCTTAGCAAGAATCCTCCTGAAAACAGTAGGCCCTGCTATCACATAGTCTCTCATGTTATACTACACAAAGCACAGAGAGTGAACACTGAAACAAGCTGCCTCTATCCAGTCTATATTTGTCCAACCTATTTTTATGTTACCCAAGTAATAGCTTTTATATCCTTTTACTCATGTACGAATTAATTGTTCTACCATATTGTATTACTACTACTACTACAACTTATGTCACTACTACTCCTACTACTACTACCACTAGTATTGCACTTCACTCTGAACCTATATATACCCTCTGTGTCCATGTACTGTTTGTAACGGCTTGACAAAGCTCCTGAAGAGCGAAACGTTGCCACAATAAAATGTCACATTAGTTGCACTTGTGTCCTTTTATTTCTGCTTTGTATTGGACTGATGAAGTCACTGTGTGGCGAAAAGTTTCTTTAGTCAAGATTCCCATACGTTGCATAAGTGTCTCAATCTTCAACTTGTCGGTTTTAATCCATTTATCACATAGCGCCATATTCCATATTATTAATGTTAAATGGAGTATGCCAGTATACAAAAGTAATATGAATATGACTCACGAAATCGTAATGACACGATTGCAAACAATCCATACCACACGTGGCTAACGCGACGGTCTGAAGTTTTGAGACTCTCTGACGGCGAGTTCAAACCCCATCCGTGGTATGGTTTGTAATATGAACATTGTGTAAAGATATATGCTATTGATATACACAATAAGTTTCTTTAGTCTTTATTTTATCACTTGTCTGTTTTGACAAATGTCAAATGTACACAAGCAGTTTGATAAGTAAGACACATGTGCAACAGTTAGATATCTTTTTTCCAAAATGTTTTGCCTACACAGTAGACTTCTTTAGCCGAACAATGTTCCAGACTATGGAACAAAACCCTTCTTCCAGGCTGAGGGATTGACCACCTCATAACTACGACTTCAAGGGTAATCGACGATTACATCGTCTTCACTTCTGCAGACTCATCTCTACTCGACTGAAGAAGCCTACTGTGTAGGCGCAACGTTTCGGAATAAAGATACCTAACTGTTGCACAAGTGTCTGACTTATCAACATTTCGGTACTGTATACTATTTTCAAATTCACAAGCAATTTCTTCCCAAATATTCATATAATAACATTCGACTACACAAGTAAATTGGGGTTGACTTGTAATGGTCTTATTGTTCACAGATAACATATCCTTCCGTCGAACAGCCCAAATCATTAAAATACATATTAAAAACATAATCAAGCGCTAAACAATTTTGTCCTGTTCCACCATTTGGCATCTGGTCGTTATCACAGCCAGCATTTGCCCAGTAAGGTGTTCCCATCTGTATAGGTTCTTGGTCTATCCACACCCACAGTCCTTCGTGTCCCTCGTCTGTGCCGCCGATCCAGTAATAAACTAGAGGGAAACCTGGAATGGGAAAAATGATCCTCGTTATTATTTTTACTTTTTTTATTAAATTGTTTCAACTTTTCATTAAAAATTAGTGTAATGCAATACGCAATCTAAAATACTCTTAAAAATATATAAAAAAGTTAGGGGGTTGGCTTACATGGTTTAAAAACCTATCACAGTCATTGTGGTTACCTGGTACTCTTCTCGGAAATGATGCTTCAAGTATTAGAATAGAAATAAAAGAAAATTAGCGTGTATACACTGGCAGCTACACGCTTCTCGATGTATTGTCTACTACTATAATCTTCATGAGAAAATTTCTGTTTACTGTACATCATAACAAGTCAAAGCCCACCCAGATCTGAGTAATACTACCAACCCCAGTGTATGACCTGGTATAGTCGACTAGCAGGAGGGTGACCAGGGCCAACAGGCGGAAGATTTGTCTGCTCAGAATTCAACACTGATCCTTTTATTTGTGAATCGAATACTATGACATTTTGAAAGGAATTCACCTTTACTAGTAGAAGAATCGTATAACTTAATATTGTTAATTACTACATACCACTGCCGTGAATATGAAGAATGAGAGCGTTGTATACCGCTGGGTCATTCAGCTTAACTAAGTCGCCGCCAAGACTCTTACAGTGGTTACGCATATCGTTCCACGTTCCCTTGTTCAAAAAGTCAACAAACATGCACCGTCCTCCCACTTCCTGGTAAGGTGACTCACAGCTGACTTCTGTATAACACAAAGAGATAGATTAGTGCCAATGAACGCAACTTTTCATATAACGTTATTTACCCAAAGGGCGAAGTGATATGTATCGTGTGAAGACGTGTCCATTGTGTTCTCCATTCTTAGCTAACTGAGATTGTTATGTTGACTTCCTTTGAATTTGAACAACTGTATCTCCAGGTTAAGGCAGAGTTAGAGTGTGGCATGCAAAGAGTATGTTACAATTAATTCGGCGTATGTCACTCACCCATATAGGTATGTCCTCCTGACCAGCAAACCGGGTAATAAGGGGCTCCCCTTGTCAAATTCAGAAAGGATATAGGAAAGCACTGGTTTGGTAATAGAGTTGTGGATGAGTGGAGCAAACTCCCGAGTACAGTTATTCAGGCTAGAACGTTGTGTAGTTTTAAAAATAGGTTAGATAAATACATGAGTGGGTGTGGGTGGGTGTGAGTTGGACCTGACTAGCTTGTGCTGCTGGGTCTGGTGCAGTGCTCCATCCTTGAGTGGAGATGATCAGACTGGGTGGGTCATTGGGCTAATCCGGGGGGGGGGGTATTGGTCTAATCCGGGGGGGTGACATGGACCTGCTCCGCATGGGTCAGTAGGCCTGTTGCAGTGTTCCTTCTTTTTTATGTTCTTATGTTCTTATGTTATGCCAGCACCTTGGTTCAACCAGTCAATGACAAGGAAAACCGCCAAAGTTGTCAAGCGATGTGGGGACACTCTTGAATCAACATTGGCAGACTTGCCTCAAGCCTGGTCGAAGATGGTTCTCACCGTGTCTCTTGCTTGCATTGCCATACAGTACATATCCTCTGTACATATTCCACATGCATTGCTTGCTGTTTTGTGATTGACAAATAAGCATTTACTCTCTGCTGCCTTTTGCTCGTTCCTCATTTCTGCCTTGGTTATTGTGCCTCACCAAGATGTTCAGGTCACTAGACTACACATGTTTTCGTAATATAGAGGGAGCTAGAAGAGAGATTCAACGGCTGAAAGGTACAATAGTGTGCATATTGGAAAATTAATATTAATTTGAAAAATACAAGGCAATGATTTCATAAGATATATGACTACTCTTTGCTTTTATAAGCTTTGTTACACACTTTGACATAGAACTGACCAATGTTGAATACATTTTGGCAAGTTCTTCGTCGTGATACCAGGTCCTAATAACACAAGTAATTAGCTTCTCCACAGTTGACAGTCCTGTTTTGCGACCCTGCGTTTGGTTATTTGCCATGGATTCTCAATTGGGTTGAGGTCAGGATAGTTGCCAGGCCAATTTAGAACGCTTAGCCCACTCTCTTCAAAGAATGTCAGCATATTTCTGAAAGTGTGAATGTAGTATTATCCTGCTAGAAAATGCTTTCTCCATTAGGAAAGTCTCTATCCACAATAGGAAGCAGATAGTTGCCAGGATTGCCTTATATATATTACTGTTGGTATAAACCTTGGTAATAAATACCGACAAGTTGGTTTAGAAAGACACGTAAGCAAACACTATAACATATTTATTAGAAAACGTTTCGGTCCTGGAATCTTGATCAAGGTTCCAGGACCGAAACGTTTTCTAATAAATATGTTATAGTGTTTGCTTACGTGTCTTTCTAAACCATATATTACTGTTCATCGTTCCCTCAACAATAACAAGCCGCCCAGGGTTTTTTGGAGTAAAACTACCCCATAACGTCTTAACTTGGTGTTTTGGCACTTGCTGAATGTCACGCCAAAGAGGTTTGCCTTTGCACCATCTCACTACCACTGATCTATACTCATGTGGTTCAAAATGCGCTTTATCTGAAAATATAACTTTTCTCCCTTTATCTGTTGTCCATTTCTTATGAACGAGTGCTCCCCGAAGCCGTATTTCTTCATAGCAGCTTCTTCATAATTGCTTCTTTACCGCCTTTCTTGCAGTTCTGACAGCTTCAAGGAGCCTTTGCCTTTCTTGCAGTTCTGACGGCTTCAAGGAGCCTTTGCCTTTCTTGCAGTTCTGACGGCTTCAAGGAGCCTTTGCCTTTCTTGCAGTTCTGACAGCTTCAAGGAGCCTTTGCCTTTCTTGCAGTTCTGACGGCTTCAAGGAGCCTTTGCCTTTCTTGCAGTTCTGCCAGCTTCAAGGAGCCTTTGCCTTTCTTGCAGTTCTGACGGCTTCAAGGAGCCTTTGCCTTTCTTGCAGTTCTGACAGCTTCAAGGAGCCTTTGCCTTTCTTGCAGTTCTGACGGCTTCAAGGAGCCTTTGCCTTTCTTGCAGTTCTGACAGCTTCAAGGAGCCTTTGCCTTTCTTGCAGTTCTGACAGCTTCAAGGAGCCTTTGCCTTTCTTGCAGTTCTGACAGCTTCAAGGAGCCTTTGCCTTTCTTGCAGTTCTGACAGCTTCAAGGAGCCTTTGTCGAGCAGTCAAAGAATCAACATTTACACCAGATGAAGTCAAATCTCTCTGTAGATCTTTGCTGATTTTCTTGGGATCCTTCACATCATTTCTTATGATAACCTTGTCATGGTGTGTTGTCTTGCGTTTTTTTCTACATCTTCCTTGATGCAGCTCTCTACGATCACCAGTGTCGTCAGCTCTCTTCAGGATTTGCCCAACAGTTGACTTTGCTAGGCTTATTTTTTGGGGGCTATCTGTCTGATATATAATCAAATCAGCATGTTTTCTAAGAGCTACGATATTTGCACGCTTCCTAGGTGTATCATCCATCGTGAATTTCAGCAGTAATCATGAAGTGAAGGGGAGAATTTGGTGAAACTACATTTCCTCACAGACCACGCTTGCAGGAATAGCCTTAGAGAACAACAGCAGTTGTAGCACTGACTAGAGTTGCAGGTAGCACTACAGCTGGATGGTTGCCAGAAGTAGGTAGTACACTTCCAAAAAGAAGAGGGCCAGGTTAAGACAAATTATGAGATAATCACAAAATTTACTCCTGTCCCAATTAATTTGCACACTACTGTAGGTGCAAGGATTATTATATTCAAAGCAACGCCATTGAGAAGAGCTGCACTGATGATCACACCACTGATTGGATGCTGTTTATAATGAATGAGATGAAGCTGAACCTAAGAAAAGTCCAGGATACTGCTTTGGAGACCAGAAATTCTTTCTCTGTGTTAACAATGAGTATGAATCGATTTTCTATGACATAGCAACTAAGACTGCGGTTATGAGAAACACTGCCAATGAAGGTAAAAACAGGGTTTCAGTTGGGGACAGTCAGGTTAAATTTTGTCTTAGAGATAGGAAGAGGAGGCAGAGGGTGTGTTTTCCTAGAGCTGGGATGGAGGATATTGTTAGCCATCTGGAAAACATCATGGAAGGTAATGGGAGCAATCCCATTATCTGTCTCTATGCTGGTGGCAATGATGTTGGTAGACGTAAGAGTGAGGACCTGATTAGCAGGTATAGGTGCATGGTAAGTGGTATTAACTGCTAGCTGGACAAACACTGTAAATACATTGCAGAAACATTTGTACACAACTTGACCATCTTCTGTGTTCCATGTACATAGAAATAATGGGAAGAGGGGTGGAGTGGCATTATATGTACGAGAAAGTATAAATTAGTGCATAAAAAACGAGGATAAAAATAGATGGATTAGTTACTGCTCTGCCCCGTGAACAGGATGCAATGTATATTCTGTATATATTTAATATTCTACATATAGATATCTAATTATCATATAATTTTATACTGGAGATGTTTTCATTAATAGCTAAAATGAAATTATCTTTCTTTATATTATTTGACATAGTTTATGTAAGCAGGTGGGATGTGCTTAGTTATACTCAGTGACTGAATTACGACTGGCTCTCTGCTTTTAACCCTTTGTCCACTTGTTTCAGTCACTGGGGTAGCTGTGAGTCACGTGATCACACACAATGTTGGGGCTGTTGGGTTTGCCTCACTCAATTACCTCATTGCCCCTCTCAGGAGTCACATCAAGCATTCTCTCTCTGGCTGTTGATTCACGTAGACCTCTTTTGTGTTAACACTGGTTCGTGTATAGTGCGTCTCTGTAGGTGAGACGGGATGTACTGTTTGTCATTTAGACTTACACCAAGTTGCTGTCGATATAAGTCTAAGCAGAGTATTACGGGGACATTACTGAATTTGAGTTTATGGCTATATTCCCACATAATTATATATAGTTATATTATTGTGGAAAATTACATTTACCTGGATGAATCTCATTACATACATTGCCCCCTTGGGCCGGGAATGGCAGACCAGAGAGGCCTAGCTTGTGGCTAGGCCTGGGGACAGTTGGTCCCAAAGATGAGGAGGTACTTGTGCCTCCTCCCATGGGAGACTTAGCTCTCAGACACTCCCTAAAGAGGGAGCCAAGGCCGGGCCACCACTTGGAAAAGGCCCGGGCCGGGAGAATACCGGCTAATCTTTAATAATAATAATAATAATAATAATAATAATACATACAAGTAAATGGTAACAAAGATAATTATTATTTATCAAAGATTCAGAGACAAGTAGGAATTTTTAGGACACCTAGGTCGCAAAAATGTCCCCCTTCGATACCTACCATCTATCTCTCCACAAGTTACTCTAGACCTATATTAATTGCAAATGAAATGTACATGCACACCAGGAATTCTGGTAAAATTATTATAATTTTTGTGGACTGTATATTAAAATTAATAAATGATTACATATACACATTTATATAACATAAGGAGAATTTATACTCATAACACTCACCAATTTATCTGGAGATTACTGTGTATCATACTCAAAAACCCCCCTGTCTACATTTCTGATAATAATACTGGCCAGAATTATTTTTTTTTATTATCACACTGGCCGATTCCCACCAAGGCAGGGTGGCCCGAAAAAGAAAAACTTTCACCATCATTCACTCCATCACTGTCTTGCCAGAAGGGTGCTTTACACTACAGTTTTTAAACTGCAACATTAACACCCCTCCTTCAGAGTGCAGGCACTGTACTTCCCATCTCCAGGACTCTAGTCCGGCCTGCCGGTT